TGCTCTCACACATTGCTGAAGGAGCCCGTAGAACAAAGAGGAGGTATCCACGTAAGAAATAAAAAGGTAGCAACGTTCAGCGTGCACCAACCAATCAGCCTGAAGCAAACCACTTCTCTGTCTTTGTGATGGTAGTCTCCGTTTGAAAGACACGACTAAATACAAGCTTCTCCTACTCTAACGGTACGTCCACACAGCAGCGTTAAAAATATCTTCCAACGCTTCTGCCCATTCACTTTGAATGGGGTGACGTCACTTTGCCTCACTTTTCACCGAACTGCATTGTGGGAAGCAAAGCGGAGATTTCCAGGCATCAGGATGCAAAAGTTGAGCAATGTTCAACTTTTGAAGCTTCTGAAGCTTTCCGTGGAAGCGTCAGCCAATCAAATCATATGCCAGTACAAGCTCTAGCCAATCAAACCGCTGCTTGTGTGTCAGGGGCGGGAGATTCATGTGATTGGTTGTTGGTCGAGCTTCAGACACACCCGCCGGCAAGCTTTTTTTGAAGCTGTAGTGTGGACGGGCCGTGAGGAAGAGGAGAGTGTTTTCTCACCGAGTGTTTCACCAGACAAGGGATTTGGAGCGGGTGCTGACTCCCTTCCTCCTGCTGGCCGCCGCCGTCACTGCGTTACGATGGCTTCGCTTGTGAGACTCCAGGTACAGCTGACAAACACAGGAAAGGTCATTTTAGTCATTAACCTAGATAACATATCTACTTACTATCAGCTGTAACCGCCAGTATTTAGCATATCTTGATATATCAACTGCAGTTATAATTATTTTTGATTTAAGAGTTAACATTTTTGAGTTAGAAAAATCTTAGTTTTCCTCAGGCATCTTCAAATGTGTCTCATCTCTTCAACAAAACACACATTTACATAACAATATATAAATAAATCAGAGTCAAAAACCAGTCTCTCCCGTCTGTGTAGCTGAAAACCAAGAACTTACGTTTTAAAACGGAGACTTTTAGACACATTGATTCACACTCAGTTCACAGATATTCAAAGCACTTGATCTAAGTTTTGAGAGAGCCACCCCTGCTGTCCGTGTCTTTACGAAGAAATTAGAGATGTCCCGATCCGATAACCTGATCGGAGCCGATCACGTGATTTTCAAAAGATCGGAACCGGGAGAAAAAAATCGGGACCGGGATTTATTTATTTATTTTTTTAAATACTTTTTAAAAGAAATTTATTAAATTTTACAAAACAAAAATGACCATGTTCAAGTCTTAAAGTCATCCTGAGGGCTTAGTTCTGGTTTCAAATTACAGAACATCATGTATGCGTTGCTTCTTTGGGGCTTGTTTTCATAGACCTGGTTGCTTATTTCTCTCAAATCTGGCAACAGAGTGGGCAGGGCGCGGTGTCTAATTGTAGCAGTAAGCTAACGAGTGCCGATAAGCTTTATTTTGTTTTGATCCAATGCTGCACAACTGAACTGATCAAATGCTGCTGTGAAAGAAAGAAGCTATATCCATGTTGGATAGAATATCCAATTTAAATAAAAAAATAACCTTAAGGGACAACTTGAATGCTTTTTTTTTTCTCTTAATGCATTGCATAAAGATCGGATCGGGAAAAATCGGTATCGGCAAATTGTCAAAATCAAATGATCGGAATCGGATCGGGAGCAAAAAAAGGTGATCGGGACATCCCTAGAAGAAATTCAATGTGATGCTAATCATCTCACCCACTCCTCACACTGGAGTTCATACAGATGATCATTTCCACAGAAATCCACTTTTTAAAATCCAATAATATCCCTCACTCCATAAAACATGTATATCAGAAATGTTAAATCCAGTACCTTCTTGGCGAAGGCTCGCCCGCACTGGTCGCAGGCGTGCAGGGAGAAGTTCTTGGTCACTCTGACTTCGGTGGAGGACGACGAGCCGCTGCACTCTGATTGGCTGTCGTGTTGCCGGGTGTGTGGCGTCTGGTTGCCGGGCGAGCTGTTGGAGTAGGAGCTGCGTTGGTGTGAGTGTTTCTCACTGCGGCGGGTCAGCGGGGGGCTGACGGGGCGAGGCTGGTGGGTCTGCTGTCTCTCCTGCTTACGGGTGAGGGGAGGGGAGGGGCTTAACGCCGGCGATGACACTTCCTGTTGTTTGCGAGTGGCGGAGGCGGGGTGCGAGGAGGAAGACGATGAAGAGGAGGAGGTTGTTGCAGGTGTGGAGACCTCCTGCTTGCGAGTGATGGGAGGCGAAGGGGAGGAAGAGGGGGAGGAAGAAGCTGGGCGCCCGTTCACTTCCTCTTTGACCCCGCTGCTGCCGATCCTCTTGTTGGGGGTCCCGCTGTTCAGGACCACTTCGGCCTGCCTCTTCACCGCCCGGCTCTCCAGTTTGGGCATGATCTTGCCCAGGTACGCCGAGGACTTCTTGTGGACCACCGTCACGTGGCGCAGGACGTCCCGTTTGCGGCGCGACTCGTAGCGGCAGAGCGGGCAGCGGTAGAACTTGATGAAGATCTCGTTGCCGTCCGTGTGCAGCTCGATGTGCTTCGTGAGGTTCTGCCGGGAGCTGAACTGCCGCTTGCACAGTTTGCAGAAGAGCTGCTTGAAGTCGAAGCCCACCGACAGTTTGGGGGTTTTGGAGGGTCCGGTGCCGCGTGAGGATGACGAGGATAACGACGCCACCTTCGGGCTCGACGGCGCCTCCTCCTTCACTTTCATGGCGTGGTTCGCCACAGGGACACCTTTAGCTGTCGCGGTGCTGTCGCTAGGAGACGGGGCTGGACTAGTGTCCACTTCCTCCTCTTCCTCCTCCTCCTCCTCTTCATCTGAGGCTTCTACTGCTTCCTCTTTCACCCTGACGTTGTTGCTCGTGGCGGAGGTAGCGCTGCTGCTCGGAGGCGGGGCTGTCGGAGCGGGGGGGGCGGGAGGCGTGGCAGAGCGAACGTTTTTCATGCTGTATATTTTGTGGACGATGCGCATGTGTCTCTTCAACATGAGCTGAAATACACACAGAGAGAAATCATAATTAATCATCGTCTTCCTCCTTTAGAGAAGACATTCCAACCAATGCAAGATGATAAATAGCAGCAACTAGAACAGATGCCCGGCACGGAGACTTTTTCAAATCTAGAAAAGCTGAGAGTAAGGCAAGGCAAGTTTATTTACATAGCACCTTTCAACACAAGAGGCGCGTTCACACCGCAGTGCTTTTCCCACTTTAGTTCCGATATAGTTCCGAAATGTCGCGTTCACACCAAAAAGAGCCGGAACTAAAATGAGTTCATCAGAACCTTTTTACCCCCTTTCAGTCCCTCCTAGAGAGCAGAGACTTTCGTGGGAGAAAAAGCTTCCTATGTCTGCTGATTGGCTTGGCGGAATGCAAACCACGCCCCGTAAGACTCCCAAAAGGTTTTGTGAAGCCGCCATTTTATTATCCTTGCATTAGCATGATTAGCATTAGCCCAGCGCAGAAACGCAGAGAGACTAACTTATGGCAACACAAAATAAAACATGGGAGCGGTGGAGATGAGGAGGTGTCGGCGTTCTGGTGATTCACTCGGAGTCCTGGGAGTCCCAGCAGCTTCTACTGAAGCCAGTCCCTAACTCCGGGGACTTCCGGCCGGGGACTCCGGGTGGCAGTATACGCCGTGAAGTTGTTTGCGGTCTGCCAGTAAACCAAAAGCAGAAGAAGAAGAAGTGACGTCAGCGGCTTCATTTGCCTAATCCTCCCTCGGGGACTTATTCCGGTGTGAACGCGATCTGTACTTAGTTAATCAGAACTAGAGAGTTCTCATGAACCTTTGTGGGAAAAGTACTGCGGTGTGAACGCGCCTAAGGTCATTCAAAGTGCTTTACAACAAAGACATTGAGAGCATGAAGAAATAGTGCAGCAGAAACATATTCTAAAATGGCATTTCAAAACACTAATTTAAAAGCAAAGATAATAAAACATGAATGACAAAGGTACATGAATAAAAGTTACAGTGCAGTGTGAGATATGTCAATTAAAAGCAGCGGCAAAAAGCAAAGTCTTCAGCCTGGATTTAAAAGTAGTCAGAGTTGCAGCGGACCTGTCGGTTTCTAGTTTGTTCCAGATGTTCGGAGCACACTAACTGAACGCTGACAAACTAACCTGAGAGCTGTAGTTCCTCTTGCAGAGCGTGCAGCGGCTGGAGGAAGGGGCCGCCTGTGACGAGGCAGGGGGCGTGCTCGGAGCTTTGGACTGGGTTTGGCTGGGAGGCGGAGTTTTAGAGGTCACAGGGGTCGACTTGGAGCTGCTGCTACGAGTCGGAGAGGAGTTGTTGCTCTTCCTGGGGGGGGTGGCCTCCAGATTGAGGGGCTGTCCGGGGCGAGATGCTATGTTGGGAGTGATGTTATCCCTCCGCAGGCCGCGGTGCACCTCGTCGAAGTGACGCCGCACGTTGGCTTTGGTGGCGAAGGTTTTCATGCAGACAGGACAGGACTTTCCGGTCGGTGTGCTGAGAGTCCTCGGCCGACCTGAAGCAACAACAACAATCATTATTCATCCTTATGTTTATCTTGAAACTCTAAGAAAGAAATAACTTCTATAGCAAACAAAGCAAAGTGTAAAAAGAACTATGGAGCCGATCCCAAGTGTTACGTAATGATGAATAGACTAAATATTTGTTGTCCCCATAATGAGATATTGAGCATTGAACACATGTATTTCTTTTCATTAGTTATTTACAACACATTGAAATGTCTCTGCATCCAATGAGCATGCAAGTACTGACGAGTTTAAGGCTGCTTGTCTTGAAAATATAGTTTTCCACCAACGCAAGAAAACATCATTATTATCATTTGATTTTTGTAAAAATGTTGGGAAAAGTGTTATCATTGCACGTATTTGTTATGACCGTACGGTGGGTTTGTAAAACATTAATTACCTGGACTCTCAATCACAGTAATTCACAATGTTCAACCTTTTTAGCATGTTTTGGGGCAGGCTGTATTTAACCTCTCACCTTTCACCATGGAGAGCAGGCTGGTGGGAACAGTCCGTGTCTCGGTGAACTTCCGGAGCTCGTCCAGTTTGCTCTGGTGCATTTTGCGACAGTGACGCCGGATGCTGCGGCGCGAGTTGAAGTCCTGACCGCACAGGCAGCAGGAGATGGTCACATCGTCCACCTGGTCGGGGGGGCGAAGAGGAACGAAGTGTGAGAAACATCGTGATCGAGCGTATGAGGACACAGCAGGTGTTTCTCGGGTCACTTACCCCGCTGGTGGAGCCCTCGTCTTCGGGTGGTGGCGGCGGCTCTTCTTTGGCCTCCTCCTCCCCCTCCCACTTCTTCTTATCCTGAGTGTGTCCCGGGCTGCTGTGGCTCTCCGGCTGGCTCGCCTGGCTGTTGTCGGCCCCCTCCCCCTGCTCTCCCTCCCACGCTACCGGACTCTCTCTAGCACTGTGAAGGAGATCGAGACAAACCGTCAGAGACAAGAGAAGCTCTCCTAAAATCCCATTTGATTTGAAGACAGCCATATGAATCCTCTGTAAACCGCTGTTAAGAAGAGTTGTGATCCTCTCCAGAATGGAAGTAGTCATCACACACAGAGCATCAACTAGTTCCTGAGCAGTGTCCTTCACATGCTGATATCCAAGAGAGGGAGCGACACAGTCACAAGATGGAGGAATAAATCCTTTTTTTTGTGTCAACATTTCGGCTTTTTCTAAAATGTCTTAAAATTCTGACTTTCTCTCAAAATTATGACTTTCTCTAAAAATCTAAAAAATCTGTGTTTTTCTCAAAATTCTGACTTTTTCTCAAAATCTCAAAATTCTGTGTTTTTCTCAAAATTCCAAAATTCAGTGTTTTTCTCAAAATTATGACTTTTTCTCAAAATCAAAAAATTATGACTTTCTCTAAAAATCTAAAAATTCAGACTTTCTCTAAATATCTAAAAAATGCTGACTTTTTTAAAAAAAAATCCCAAATTCAGTGTTTTTCTCAAAATTCAGACTTTCTAAAAATCTCAAAATTGTGACTTTTTCTCAAAATTGTGACTTTTTCTCAATAACTCAATCTCAGGATCCGTGTATTTCTGATCCTCTCCAGAATGGAAGTAGTCATCACATACAGAGCATCAACTAGTTCCTGAACAGTGTCCTTCACATGCTGATATCCAAGAGAGGGAGTTCCACAGTCACAAGATGGAGGAATAGAAAGCAGTATTCAATGTTTACTTCAGATTAGCTCCACGTCAGAAATGAGCATGCTTGTCATATGTCTCTCTCCATAGAGGCTGAATCATCATGTTAATCACATAGCTATCATATGCCTCAAACAGTCCTGATGCTCTTCTAGGTAATCACACATCCTGTCATGTACAGCTACGTAGGGCCTTTGTTACCGTGTGCTAATTAATCACAACAGAGTTGGCCAGCTAACCAATCAGAGCAGACTGGGCTCTGGTTTCAGACAGAGGGTGAAAAGAGGTGCTGCAGCACAGGCAGTATGAGAAAAATCAAGAGCTTTTTGAACATTA